CACGAGGAAAATCACCTACTTCGTCCAGAGAAATTGGAGGGTTGAAAAATGAGAGAGCCACTTAGAATGGATTGCCATAAGGAATAGTCCTGGTCCCGTTCAACAAGACAGAGACGACGGAGACATGCATCGCATCAACAGAGACATGCAATTTTCAGGCTTTAAATTTGAAAATGCACATTCGCATAAAAAGCTGAGAGTGCAAGAAGGAATGAGGAATATTTTTATATTTTATATTTATAAATTAGAGAATATTTTATTCTGAAAATATAAAAAAGAAAGTTAAGCATTCAAAAACTAAAAAAAAAGTAGAAAATTAATGCTAGTTATCCCTGCTAAAAATTCCCCGTAGAAACGCATACAATTTTTTTAAGGGGAATTGGCCTATACTGGTACCCATAGGCCAAACCCCCGTAAAAACCCATAGAAAAAAAACCCATGCAACTCTACGGGTACCTGTAGGCCAAATCCCCGTAAAAGCCCATAAACAGCAACCCGTATAACTGTACGGGTACCCATAGGGTAAATCCCCGTATTAACCTATAAACAGAAACCCGTACAACTGTACGGATACGAGTAGGCCAAATCTTAGGAAAAATCCATACACCTATATCGGTAACCATAGGCAAAATCCCTGTAAAAACCAGTACACAAATATCTACAGACCAATAAAGGTACCTCTTGTCAAAATCGCTGCAAAAAACAGTAGACAAAAACTCATAAACAAAACCAATAGAATTATACCATAGCAGAGTATCCATACACAGAATCGTACATACAGCGGGTATCCATACACACAATCCCTATAAAAACAATACACGAAAATAGAACTGTAGGTCAATTTTCCATAAAAACTAGTAATTAAAAACATAAACCAGCAGAAGTACATAATTAGCACTGATGAAATGTACAGGTCTAAATGGCGGAGAAAGCATGTAGAGTAATTTTAAATAAAATTAAATGCGAATAAACATAAAATTTTTAAAATATCTAGAAGCATACAAGCTCCTGTACTTCTCAATGCATGTCAGTATTTATAAACATATTACAAAATATTTGTATAAATTCTCTTTACAAAATTTTAAAATCTATTTATAGAATTTTGAAAATAATAGAAAGATAATAATCAAAGTCATAATTCACAACCATCGAATGATTATTTGTACATATGTATGTATATATATATATGTGTGTGTGTGTGTGTGTGTAAGAAAAATAAAGAATGTGCAAAAGATTAAATTTGAAGCGTAAAATTATTTTTTTAAAATTCCTTTAAGAGGCCGGCCAAGCTTGGAGGATAATTTAAACCGTTTGATTGAAAGACATTTTATTAGACATATACCCCCAACTGATAAAAAATGGTAATCATTAAGAGAATGCAAAGTTTGTTGTTCCAGAAGAGATGAAAACAGTAAGAGATGTAGGAAGGAAACTCGGTATTACTCTCCAAATTGTGACGTTGGCCTTTGCATCTCATGCTTTGAAATGTATCACACAAGAAAAAATTACTAAGCTTTGTTTATATTATGCATAAGTTTAATAAAATTATCTTTTAATGTTTAAAACACATATTTCTGAAATTTTCCTGGCTTACTGGAAAAGCAACATTCAGTCAAAATAAACCTGGATGTTGGCTTTTCCTAAATAATTATATATTAAAAATTTCAATCTAAAAAAAATCCAGATATTGAAAATGTATGCATATATTGTACATACATTTATTTCTGTACAATTTTCTTCAATTAAAAAAATAGGCGCGTTTATGACAATTTTCTTGAAAATTATCCGATCGTTAAGGGATATGTGTGTGTTGTGGTGTGGTGTTAATGCTTCAACGGTATGGTGTTGAACTCCGATGAAAACTCTAATGATGGAACTCCGCATATGAAAATTTTATTGAATGTCCAAAATAAAAGGCTATACACAATCCACAAGAAAAAACTTATCTATTTTCCTTTTTTAAAACAAATTCAAATATATCTACAGTTTACGTGCGAGGGCAATACGTGGCTCTCGAGCCTAAGTTTGAAACAATGCCAACATATCAATATTATTTTTAAACAATTAATTCAACTTAAAAACTATTGAAAACGTATTCGGAAGTTAAATAATAACAACATTCATCTTATGCTCTCGAGACGTCTTTGTCCTTATTAATCTTCAGTTTCTTCTTCCTTTATGCAACCTTATCACAACTACTTCCCTCATAAAAGGATTTTTCCTAGACTATGGGAGGAAGTATTCTAAATACTTTTCACTGCTTTCGAAACACCATTAAGTGATAATTAACCATTTAAGTGATAATAGAGAAGCCAGTTGCATTACTCTGCACTTATTTCTAGATAACATAAACGCAAAAATACAACAAAAAATTTAAACTACTCCTAATATCTGCCTCATACAAAGAACATTCCTCAAATATTACAAAATGCAAATAATTAAGATAAAACATTTAATTCTAACAATTTTTGAAAATGAAACACACAATGCAAACAATTTTGAATCTACACAAATATAATTCCAAAACGCTACAAAAATCATTTTTCACTAATTTTTACCTTACATTGTATCCACTAGTGATATTCAGTCACTAGACTAGGGCACGACTCAAGCCATCTGCATTACCGTCTAATTTGCCTGGCCTATGAACAATTTCAATGTTGTACTGCTGGAGACACAATGCCCAGAGAGCCAAACGAGAATTTATTTATTATTTTGTTTAAAAAAGTCAACGGATTATGATCTGTCTGGATCTTGAATTTTTGTCGGTCGAAGTAATGATTTAGTTTCTTCAGTCCATAAATAATGGTCGCTAGTTCTCTTTCAATGGTGCTATAAGTTCGCTCCGCTAAACCGAGCAGTTAGTTTTTAAACTGCTCGGTTTTGGAACAGCTTTTATTTTTTCAAAGCCCAAGTTTTGTACCACGATCTTTTTATAACTTCAATGCTTTCCCTTACTTTCTTTTCTCCAACGATGTTTTGTACGAAGACGTTTCTACCTTGCTCTTTTACCCCGAGACATTTTCGTCCTGTTTTGTCCTGTGACCGGCTGAAGCACTGTCAGAACATCGTCCATGTAGGAGTCTTAAAGCTACAGATAAAGTTAGAAGGACGTCTTTCCCTTCATCAAATGCTCCTCTTGATTAAAAATGGAGTTTACATGTTGTTGCAAACGTATCTCTTTTGAGTAGTGTAGGCTTACAGTGGAACGGAGCTTTCATCCGAAGATATCTTTGAAGATCGACTTAAGACTTATCAATTTCAACTCACCAAAGTATTTTTTCTATATTCCTACTAAAGGTACAGAGGTGTTTTCTATAGGTTAACATGATAGGAAAAAGCTGATGTGGATACCACATAACTTCTTATTACGGCTTATTAAATTCTACACAGTTTTTGCCGCATTTCAATTAAACGTATTCCCTTGAATTTCATCAGAAATACATTTCTCATTCAAGTGATTCAGTTTTCACTTCGTGGCAAGGTAAAAATACATAAAAACTTAAAACATCTTCATTAAAAATTCTAAAATACATAAAAATATAAAGCATCAAGTAAAATTAAAACAGTTAAAGAAAACAGTTTTTAAAATAAAATCAGAGTTGCTACGCAAAAATAACGAATTGGTCCAGCGGGCAAGAAGACATGTTTTGTTACACAAAACAATGTTTACATTTGGTCCCACTCGGCAAAACATTGAAGAGGCAGAAACTAACTTAATTCACTATTCTACTGAGAGTTTCAGATACAAACAAATGGCGGCTTCGTTAGGCTTAGTAGCTTTTAAACAACTTTTAAATTGTTGACAATTCTACAACTATTGCATGAAGATTAACTAAAGGCAAAAAAATCTTAACCGGAACAATAAGAACAACATAATTCAATCATTTTTTAAAACAAAAAACGCTCAATTTACCAACATATAAGAATATCCTGTGCTGTGGGATTTCTATTCTAAATAAGCTACTGCCATATTTACGACGCTATTGTTTCCATGGTAAACTGGACAGTTTTCGAAAAAAATAAAGGGTATGATACTTCTAATACACTCATTTTAGAAAAAAGAATCAGGTGAAACTAAATAAAATTAAGCTCTTTCAATCGAAACTTAAAATAAATATATTCCGAATATCTAAAAAATTATAAAAGTCAAAAAGATTAAAAAAAAAAAAAATAAAATCCGAAAACTTTCAAATTTTATATTACGCCCAAAGGGATATTTTTTAATGTTTTGTGTGCTATCTTTTTTTTATTAAACATCATGGCCTTCGCACTTAAACCATGTAAAAAATTCAATAAAACAGCAATATAAAGAATATTTAAAAACAACATATATTTAGAATTCCGACAGACGTTCTCGCTCGCTGGAGATAAAAATATTATATTCCTTAAAGTGTTGCTACTGCTCGCTTTGAAATTTTTGAGTTTTTAAATAAAACCTTCGTTAAAGTTTTGCAAAATATATAATAGGTAGTAAAACTAATACGGAATTCAGAATTCGGGCATCCAGGTGCCCATGTTCAGGTGGAGGATTACGTTATTCAAAATTTGATGGCTCTAGGTACTGTCGTTTTTTTCACAATGTGAGAAACATAAATACATTCATGCAGGTTCTTAACTATTTAATTTCTTTAATACGATGATATTTGGTGGTAACAATTTAAAAATTGATTCTCCATTTTTAGTAAAATGCAACAGTATGCCGTTTTGAGACTTGGGGGCTATCGCCACTTTGGGCTAACTATGCAGTTCCTAAAGCCTGAAAGCATCGTGATTTCAGAAATTTTAAGGATTTATTCAGAGATTTCATTATATTTTCATTTCTGTATATTTTTACAAGTTGTTCTGAATACATTAATAACAGCATTTTAATAGCAATGGTTTATGCTAGTAATTTACGCTTTAATATCGTTTGAGTAGCATATTTTATTTTAAATTGAGAGTCATTTTTTTTTTTTTTTTTTTTTTTTTTTTTTTTTTTTTTTTTTTTTTTTTTACAGAAGACATGAAAAAATGCCAAAATGCTCTCGTCGAGACACAACCCTGTACCTCTGAAACACGCGTCGAGTATGCTGGGTACGCGTCGAGAATTACCCGAGAAAGACATTCGTAAAGGAGGCAGATTATTAAATAATATTTGCTTACGTATTTTTTTTAATTTGAATGTTTCTATAATTAACATAACAGCTGAATGTTCTTTAAATGAATGTTTTAAAAATTAAAACATGCCTTTAGAAGTGTATCCATCGGAAAAGTCTCATCTAGGTAAGTGTATCCATCGGGAAAGTCTCATCTATTATTCATTTAAGGTGGTGATATCTTCTTGAAAGAAGCAAAAGTTTCGATGACTTATGTTTTTCTTTTCTCATAACAGGTTTGAAATTTATTAAGGCTCCTAACATAGAGAGGAAGACATTACAATAATTTAAAGCAAAACTGGTAAGTTTTGCTTTAAATTACACATATGCTCGATTTTCTCAGTTCTTCCATACGGTGGTTAAACGTACATTAGGTTAAAAGTACATTTGGTTACAGCAGAATTTTCCAATGATATTAGAAATACTAATATGATGGAATTTCATTTCTTATACACGGTTCAGTACACTTTGAAGCCTATCGAATCTTTTCCACATCTACTCAGTCAGTGTGAGTCAGTCTTTCTGAATAAAGATTTTCTTTTTACCTTGCCGTATAATTTCTCACAACATAATTAAAAAAAAAGTAAGTTTTTCTTCACTGTTCTCTGAGAAGAAAGTGCATTTTATTTATACTTAATAATAGCTAACAATTGCGTTTCAATAGAATATCGTATAAGAAATGAGGTCCTCCTAATTCTTTCATTATTTACACCCCAGGAAAACAAAAATGCAATTTTTATTTATAATATTAAACTGAGAACTACGCCAGTCTGAATCAAAACAGATTGCTAAGAAAGCTGAACTAAACTCTTATTCATTCAAGTAACAAATTTATCTAGCAGTGCTTCTCTGAGTTTTAATGTTTATTATAACATTATTTGTTTTTTCGTTCACATCGCTGTTATTGTTCTGATCCTAGGGAACAGTCTCAACCATTGTCTCATTACCTCCTAAATCACAGTACGGAATGCGATATCCGCAGTTCATTGTTTATTGAACCCACTTTTCATCGGTACGCATACGCGTCTTCCTGTTGTTTGGGAAACGGCTTTTGTCCCCGCATTTAAATGAGGAATTTTTAATCATCTGGAGCTCAGTCTTGAAACGCTAGTAAATGCAGGAACTTTGAACTATGATTTATTAGCTATACAACTTCCACCTGCCATTCAGGTTTTTGTTAGACTCGTGAATTTTCCGTATAATATGAAATGAAAAGGGGATGTATCCAAAGTTGTAACTGTAGCTCTCAGTCAGTTTATTCGTTCTGATTTCATAAGCATCCATAGCTGATGCAAATTTTTGGTATCACTGTTCTTCGTCTTGATATTTTAGACATGATACATCATTCATTAAACAACATAATGCATATTTTCTAGCAGTTTAAAGGTATCTTCATTTTTTTTACTTGTTTTGTCTTGTTTTTCCTTTTTATCTTCTGAAGTGGAAAATATTAAAAATTCCATACCAAAAGTACGAATAAAATAAAATTAATTCTAATCAGTCAGAATAAAAATACAAATAAAATATGACATATATTAGAGTATCCGAAAAAATATCTTGGAAGACATATGTTGTTTTGTCATAAATGTTTATAAGCTTTGCTTTTAGATATATGTCTTCATTTATGTGTTTCTGATTTAAAAGAAAAACATGATTATACAAAATGAAGTTTAATTTAGTTTAAGTACTTGGTTCAAAATATGGGGCATTATAAATGCTTATAGCATTAAATATGGCATGTAAGAAGATTGAAGTCTAATTCTGTAGAAAAGCAGTTTTACATCCCACGGTTTTTTGTAACAAAGTAATAAACCTTTGGAGAAGCTATCCTTTATTGAAATCATAGTCATTTTGCTGATACAACTAAAGGAGCCTCCCAACCGTGATAGTGGTTAGCGATGCTAACTGCCTTGCCGAAGGTCCCGGGTTCAAATCCCGAAGAAAGCATGAATGTTTATATCTGTGCGTATCTGTGCGTATAAATGTATAGCAACTGTGCGACATAAATGCGCTCTAAATATACGGCAAGCCGAAAGTCCTCACGAGAGGTTGAAGGTAAGGAAAGAGAGGTGGGAGGCCCTAGGACCTATCCCCGTGGTTGTGCTTTCCTTTAAATGCCGGCGGAATGTAACAAAGTCGTATTATCACCTGTATTGTGATCAAGGCTCTTACCAAAGACAGGCGCAATCTTGCACTCCTTGCGACGTCGAATTCCGTGGGCTCTTTCTGATATTACTCTCATACAAATGAGAAAAATCCCACAACTATAATTGAAGGATTTTAATTGAGAGAGACGATAGCAAAATTTTAGTTTAGACTGTTTTAGAAAGTTTTTGTTTTTTCGCTTTAGCTTCTTTCTGATTCCAATTGAGATTTCCTGTTTTATGTAACACAAAATAACGCAAATTAGCAAATAAAATTACTGTTCATTAAGTTTTGCCGCATGACTTTCTTTGACAAGTGATTCATATTGGTTTTAATATCTGAGATTTTTAGATTCTTCAAACACTTTTGGGATTATGAAAGCGCACACGTTTTACAAAACCAAAGGTAACTGAAAAATATATTGGGAAGAATATGCAGTAGACTTAAATCCTACTTAACCAAACTTTGCTTAATTTAAACCGAGTTTACCAGTAAAAGCAATATTGAAAAGTAAAAGTAATACTGAAATAGCGAGTTTTAAATGCATACGTCTCAAAATCTTTCTTCTGACGTTTTCACTGCCTATTTATTTAGCTGAAAATACTGATTTTTAATGAATATCTGGAATATTAGTATACTGGGAGCAGAAATATCAAACATTAAAACATTATATCTTGAACAAAATTTCAAATATTAGTATTCTTTGTTGAATTGCCTTAAAGTTTTGCATTATATTTTTTATATACTGAGAAGAATTATCTGAAATTGAGTAGCTTACCGAAAAGGAAGCACAAAATGCTCCAGAAAAGTGTTAAAAATATTATTCTATATTACAGTTATATTCTTAGCATTCTCAGAATATATAAATCTGAATGGTTACTACTGAGTTTATAGTACTATGCCAGAAAATTTTCACAATTATTTGAAAGTTAATAACATGAGATTTTTATGATACTCTTTTAATTTTATTCGTTTGCAAACGGCAATTAAAAATACTTGTTGAAATGCAGGGATATTTTGCTACTGTCTTCTAGAAATACTCCTACATTTAGAAAAGAGTAATATTAATTTTCATCGTACGCTTTTCTAGCTTCATTAACGTCAGTTCAGTACTTATATGCATTGCAGAGTCGGAATATACAATTACTGAAATGTGGGGCTCTCTTCTAAGCGTAAGGCTATCAGGCTTGCATTAATTTACTGCAATATATTATTTTTTCTTAGACTATATGATATAATGCACATTTTTAAAAAAGCTGAGCAATACTTTAGAAATTTAAGTACTTTACATTTTAAAACAACGAAAATAATAAACGTTTGACCAGGAATTAATAAAGTGGATTTGCAGGTTTACTTTTAAGCATATAGAATGCAGTTTGTCATTATAAGTTTAATATATTTCAAATAAAATCAAATTCAGAATTTTTTTATTCACTTGTTTCGTTTCAGGTGAAATAATAATGGGTTATGATCTTAACATTCTTAGCTTACTACTAGAATAAAGAAATACTGGTGAGCTATGATAAATGAAAATAATTACTTTGTTTAATTATATCGAGAAATATGCGTTTGGTTTTCATAAATATATGTTAACTTTAACAGCAAAGCCTTTGTTTAATAAAATGTGTAAGGGAAAAAGTAAAATTCTGCCACTTCTGTGCCTCATAAATACAAATTTGGCTTCTAAAAAAAGATAAACCAATTATGCAGATTTTTCCTAATATCCAGATAAGCTCCGGGTTTATTTAGCTTTTATGCTGCCTTTGGAGTTATATATTGTATCTTTCTAATGGTAAATGCACTATTAAAATGATTATTTTATCTATTAATGTACTTGTTTATTTACTTTTGTAACTAGGCATGGATATATATCTTAATGAATTTTTGTTCATGACTGAGGTGAAAATTATGTTGTTTAATGGAAATAAATTTTAAAGATATTCACAAATAACATAATTATCGAAATTAGTAGGTAGAAACGTGAAAACTATTGTTTTTTTTTTTTTTTTTTTTTTTTTTTTTTTTTTTCGTCTTCTCTTTAGTAAAAAGTAGCCTGACTGTTTCTCATACGAAACGACGTGCTGCTAAAATGACCACATGTAATCTATTTTGGATAAAAGTATCGCATAAAGTTCAGTCAACCTGCAGAATGTCGTAGCTCAAGCTAATATATTTTAAATGTACTCATAAATCAATTCTGCACTTGTCAAAATGATCTTAACGCAAAGCCTGTTTTAGAACATAATGCTCAAAATGCATAATGAATAGAATGCTCATAATATATAATGGATATAAGGATCATACTATAAGGCCAATTCCATATGTTTCATAAAATATTGGGCATAATTTTAAACGCGGTATGGTTGTATGGATACTCCATCACCTATGTACGCAGCTATGACTTTGATATAAAATGTATTTGAAGCATTGAGCGATAATTGTATTAAATGGTACAGATGTTGTAATAATAAGAATATAAATTCCAGAATACAGTTCGTCTCTTTTTTAGTGAGGTTCAAGAAAATGTTCTAAGCATCCGGGCATTTGTTCACTTGCATTTCTTGAAGATTAGGAGCATGGTGTTCCGCAAGAAAGTATAGTCTCCTGACAGCGTTTTTTTTTTTTTTGTTTCTTTTCAATTTTTTATTTCCTTATGTCCTCAAAAACAGCCAATAGCTATTGTGCAACTACGATGCAGGCATATACTGTACACGTAACTCACTACATATATATATATATATATATATACAGAGAGAGCTATATAACTCACTGATCAATGTTAATCAGCGAATCACAAAAATTCAACTTTCTACGAGACGAATGTCGCCTTTCCGCTATCTTAAGTCTTTCCTTAGGTCAGAGACGAGCGTAGCTTGCAGACAATATTCGTCTTATTATGAGGCTTGATGGCATGGAGGTACGAAGTAAGATGGAGTAGCCTTAAACATGATTCTTCCGTACCCTGCTCTGAAGCACCGGCGA